GACTCCGATGGCCCCTATCTTCAATGCACACAGCAGGTTCTGTGCTGGGTGTTCTGAACCTCAGTCATCATTTGATTGACTGGCTTTTACTCTTTAGAGGCTCAGAGGGGCTGGCTGCTATAGGGCATGGTGAAGATCTATGTCCCTATGATGGTTAATTTTATGTGTCAACTTGGCTAGGCTATGTTGTCCAGTGTTTGATAAAACACCAATCAAGATGTTACTGTGAACGTCTTTTTCTTTTTTGTGTTTTTTGTTGTCGCTGTTGTTGTTTTGAGAGTGGGGATTGCACCCTGGGGCACTTAACCACTGAGCCACATCCTCAGCCATTTGTATATTTTATTTTGAGACAGGGTCTTGCCAAGTTGCTTAGGACCTTGCTAAGTTGCTGAGGCTGGCTGGAACCAACAATCTCCTGCCACAAGCCTTCTGAGCCACTGGGATTACAGGTGTGGGCCATCACGCCTGGCACATGAAAGTCTTTTTCAAACATCATGAATACTAAAATCAGTAGATTAGGCAAAGTAGATCACCCTCCATCATGTAGGTGAAACTCATCCAATCAGTTGAAGGCCTTCAGAGCAAAGATCTGGGGCCCCGAAGAGCAAATTCTGCCTCCAGGTTGCCTTTCATCCCAACACCGTTCCATCAGCTCCTGCTAGAATTTCCAGCTTCTGTCCTGCAGAATTCAGAACTGCTTGTCTCCTGTCCACATAGGACAATTTTCTGTCTCCGTGTGTGTGTGCATACACACACACATCTTGTCAGTTCTGTCTTTCTGAAGGACCTGCCTGATACAGTCCTGCGCTCCCTGGCAAGATGCTCATGCTTTCAAGTACACTCACAGAGGCCAGCCCCACAGACAGAAGCACACACTAAGCACGTGGTCTTGCTCACCACTTCTGCCCATATAATCTTATTTCTCACAGATGCTCCATGACAATAAGATGCTATGTGTTTTTCTCCAATTAAAATTTTTGGTTTTATTTTTGTAGGCCGTGGTAGGGACTATTTGGGAATTGTAGGGACTTGGGGTTTCTAACATGGCCAAGCAAAATCTTATAAAAGTGACACTGTCCTCATTGTTTAGCTGTGATCTCAGCTGCCTCTGTAGGGCCACAAAGTGCAGTTGCCAAGGGACAAATTTGCTTCTTCTTTGGGGTCACGGGTATTGGGGAAAATATGATGGAAGTTACGGGAAATGCATCCCAGAAAAACACACGTTCCCATACACCACTGAGCGACAGGCAGGCTCTCTGAACAGAGCCACATGCCCTGGATGGGGAAAGCTCATGGGGGAGAGAGTGCTGTAGACCAAAACCAGAGCAGCAGTGCGAGCAGAAAGAACAGCGGTGGGCAGGGCTCAGCCAAAGCCAGCCAGCATTAACTGAGTTCCGCAACATGCTGGGTGCTGAAGGAAAGGGCTGACCACACCCAGGCCATGGCAGGAAATGGGAGAACAAGGGGGGCTCAGCTCTTTTGTCTGGAAGATTCTCAAGAGTCTCTGAGCCCAACCTAGAGTTAACTCTCCACAGGGAGATGCAGAATGGGTAATTCTCAACACACTCCTGCCAGGGCTTCAGGGCCTCGATGGCACAGATGACCACACTCATTGAATGATCCCTCTCTGAGGATCTCTCAAATGTCCTCCAAAAACACAGCAGGACTAAGCTCTATCCCATGTAATCCAAGGGGCCGGAGCGAGGGCACCAAAGGCAAAGGCACCCACCATTCGAGGCTCTTGGTTAGGCCCAAGAGTCAAGGCTCCTCCTGGCTCCAGAGCAGCTGCAGGGATGGGGGGCAGGCCACATCCTGGCAGAGAAGTCTGGAAGGTGAGACCCAGATGTCTGCTTGGGAAGAAGGATGGGGACCCTGGAGAGGCAGGACTGGGACAGCAACTCTGGGAAAGACCCCATTGAGTGTAGGCCCCTGTTTTCAGCACCTTCCAGTGATTTTTCAGATTCTTCAACATCCCTCGAGGCCAATGACCCCCATCACTGGAGCCCGGTTTCTCAAATTGCAGTCTTGACTGAGATACAGCAAATGGACCTATCTACACATCAACGGGGTTTCAAGAAGGGAGTGGGGAGGGAAGAAGCAAAGAAGAAAAGGCAGGAGGAAGAAAGCCCACAGGAACATCTTCCCTCCAACATTTCATTTTGTCTCATTTCAAAGCGTGCTTGTGTCTGGCTACTGTCATTTTGTGTCCTGGACAGCTCACGGGACACGAGGACACTGGTTGTAACCCTCTCTCCCGATGTTTAGAATGAATCAGAGGAAGGGGAGCAGAGAAGAGGTAAATCAAACTTGGGGAAAAAGTTACCAAGTTGCCTGTCTTACAAGACAATTTGAAATTCTGAGACAGGATTTCTAACAGCATGAGGTGTTTATGGAGCCTCTCAAATGTGCTCAAGGAATTGGGCTTAGACAACGGGAAAGAACTATGTGGGCTCCAAGTGCTCTCCCCTGCTCTGTCTCTCTCTCTCTCTACTGACTTTCTTCTTTCTCCTTCTAGATTCATGGTTTGGGATTCCAGCCAAACCAGGACTCAGTCCCACCACCCACCACTCAGTGCTTTTGATTCTGTGAAGCTAATCCGGTTGGACCATGACACCAATCAGATAAGAATCAGAAAAGACAAGTGTCAGGGTTATGGAGGCTCTAAGAAAAGGGGACCCTGATACTGTCTGAGAATAGAAGGTGATCGATGACAGCTAGACACGCATCTCTGTTATCCTCCCATCTCCCTATTGTGGGCTGATGGTCCAATTCGTACAGGAACCTCAGCAGACATAGCCAGACAAATGAATCATGCTCTCAGCTGCATCAGCTTATCAGTCACAGAATCTGTGAGAATCAGAATCAAAGGCCAATGTGCATCCCTTGGTCCAAAAGGAAGGAGAACATTGTGAGAGCCACAGCAGAGCCTCAGTTGGGGAGGGGCCCTTCTAAGCTCTGGCCTGTGCCGGCATCCAGGTAGCTCACCAGTGGAGCCAGCCCTACCTGCCATTCTGGCTTAGTGGGGTGATTCTCAGGCCTACCTGGATGGGGCTAGAAGACTTGTTACTTGGTTGAATGCCACTGGAATACTCAAGATTACCCACACTTGCACTCCATCCTTGAAGTGTCCAGGTGGGTAAGTGAGCCCCTCAAAATACCACCTAGAGGGCTTCAGGGCTAATAGGCTTGGGAATAAAGGAAACCATGAGGCACAGGAATGGAGATGCCTTCAAACTTAGTGCAAAGTCATGGTTGTTGCCAAGGGTCTGTATTCACAACCATGTCCAAGTTCTCAGCCAGGAATCCCCAGCAGGGTGCAAGAAAAAGCCCCTGAGACCCCAAGAACACCAGGAGAATGGGCTTTAGCAGCATCTAGTCCAAGGCCCAGATTCTAGAGATTCGGAGAGCCATGTCCAGGAGGTGGTGGCCAGAGCAAAGTCAAGGTCAAGCCCTTTCTACTGTTTGCATAATGGTATCTACAGCAGGGGCTTCCAAATGCTGTGTTCAGTGAGAGAATGAGGGAGACATCAAATCCTCCCTTTGCCTGGGGAAGGGCGTACCTCCCTGTAGGGTGGTCCCACCCTGCTGGGTGCTAGCTAAGAGTTCTTCAAGACTGAGAAAAGGAGGCCCTCTGGGACATGAGCCAACCTGTGAAAGACCCATGGCCCAGAAGTCGGTAGTGCTGCATCCAGCCTCCCTTGGCATCCAGGAGGGCAGGGGAGGAGAGGAACCCATTCTACCTGGAGGGGCAGGTTCTTCCAAGCCACCCCCCCTCCCCCCCCCCACCTTCCCCAGTGAGCATCAGGCAGCTCTCTAGGAACTTTAAACCCCTTGGAGCCTGGTGGGTTCAGGAGCAGGGACAAGCCCCCTTAGCCCCTGAGGCAGGAAATAAACTTTGAGGGGGTTCTTTGGTTCAGAGAGATTTCTCAGGTATCTAATCCCCCTGGCTCACTCATTGCCCCGGGGAGAGATGCTGACCTTCCATGGGATCACAAACCTAATATTAGGTTTCTACCAGCCAGACCCTCAGAAAGGATGTCTGACCTACAGACAGGCCCTGGGCTGGCAAGGGATCTCAGGAGGAGCTTAGGACTGTGCCAGGGCAGCCTCTGGGGCTAGACTGTGGTGAGACAGGTCCTCCTAGGGATGTGCAATGTGAGCTGGGCCAGACTGTGCTCCCCCACCTCAGGGCAACTCACTCTGGAGTGTTGATCCAGATGATGTCCAGGTGGCAATAGTAGACACACTCCTTGTCCTTGTAGGTGAAGCACGTGCAGCGCCGGGGGCGGTGGTGCACAGGGCCACCCTCTGCCTGTTCTCCAGACCAACCGGGCCCCTGCTTCTGCCCAGGACTTCCAGGATTTGTCCCTTCACCAGGGTCAGCCACAGTCTCTTCACAGTCACCCTCAGATCTGGTTGCAGGGGGCAGCTGGGGCACACCAGTCCTGCCAGAGCCCCCAGGCTGAAGGCAAGGAGTGAATCCTGCAGGAGGCAGATTGAGGGGCTCCTGAGCTACAGGTACAGATGTTAGTTGCACTTTCTCTCGTCTCCAAGCTACACGAAAAGTTCTGAAAGTTTGCAAAGCTATGTGCACAGTTCCTGAAAAGTTTGCAAGTTAGTGCATAATGAAAAACTTGCAAGCTATTTTCACTCTGCAAAATCTGCAAGCTATTTGCACTGGTTGAAAACTTGCACGCATTTTACACTTTCTGAAAACTTTGCAAACGTTTTGTACAGTGTCTGATTAGTTTGCAAACTTTCTGAAAAGTTCCCAACTTCATGAAAAATTGACTAATTCTCCGGAGCCTGTGGAGTAGTCCTTGCTTGCCGCTTCTGCCCTCCAGCCTGCTTGCTCCCAATCACCTCCAGGGATGCAGTTAGCTCTCTGCAACACAGAACCCCCTACTCCCCCACCCCCCACCCCCGCCCTGCTCCTATTGTGTGCGCTCGCGCCAGGAGAGGCGCGCAGCCCCGCCTGCTTACCTGTGGCTGAGGTCACTGTGAGCCCGAAAAGGAGCCACAGCCCGGGCTCCATGAACCCCATCAGGCACCGGAGCACCTTGCCTGGAGGAGGGCCGCCTGAGGCCGAGAAAGGGTACTGGGGCTGGGCACCGCTTTCAAGTTGGGCGGATCACTGTCTGCGTCCCAGGCTCCGGCCAACAGTTGGCTGCTGCGGTCACGAACTTTCAGAGTGCGCTGCCCATCCCTGCGCAGGGCTGGCGGCTGTGGGCTCGGGCTTTTCTGGCTCCGCACCACCCCTTTCGCCTCCCCGCCCCCCGGAGGGGGCTGGAGCTGCGGCGAGGGGCCTTTGAACCCGGGGCGCACCGGGGGTCGCCTCGTAGGCACTGGGGGAGTCCGCTTGGAGCTCAGCGGCCCTAGACGCACCCAAATCAGAGAGGGGCGGGGGCGGGGCGCGATCCGGTGGGTGGGGTGGGGGCCGGGACAGCTGCCGGAAGGCCACCGCGCGCATAAGTTTGTACTCGCACTCCCCGCCAGCTTGCTGTCCCAAGACCCGCAGCCCCAGATAGCAGCCCCCCACCCCAAGAGCAATAAGATGATAAAAAGGCTGCGCATAAAGGGTGTTATCTTTTATCTCAGGGTCTAAGGGAAACATTTCTCAATGTTCACCTAATGACACCCTACCCTTGCACAGGGTGGACTTGCCAAGGGGCTGGGTGTACTTTACACTCGTGACTCATGGGCACCGAGTCACCGCAGCTGGCACCCTACAGTTCAGAGTGGTAGGTGGGGCTGTGGTCCAGGAGCAAAGTCGCAAAGACTCGCGGTTAGGTAGCGGTTCGCGGTCCCAGGGAGCCGCACTGCTCACCACCCCTGCACAGGCCATGCTCCCTCATTCAGCAAATGTCCACCCAGCATGAGTGGCCCAGGGAAGCCCCTTGCTTCCTTCCTAACTGCCAAGGCCCACTACCAGAGGCTCGCCCCAGCTCCATCGCAGTACTCACATCAGGGACCCCAGGGCCTCTCATTTCTAGGGCACCTGCGGTTGCAAATCTTTTGACCCTCCTCTGATAGCCAGTGGAGTTGAATATCAGCCCTGCTCACCCACTGGCCCCAGTGACCGGCTTCTAAAAGCTCTAACCCAGAAGAGGTAACCTAAGGCAAGTCCTAGAAGGCACTATGAATTCTACCCAGCTGGCTGTTGCCTCCACACACTGACTCTGAGCTCTGTATCAGGCCATGAGGAAGCCAAACCAGCCCTCCAGAGAGACTCCACGGAGCAACCTGCACGGAGAGAAACAGCCTGGCAGCCGACAGCCAAAGCCAGCCACTGGGAACAGGTGAGAAAATTGGAGTCCCAGCATTGAAGAACTCCAACTGAGGATTTGTTCATTTGGATGAGGACAACAATATGCCATAATGGGGGTGGCTAACACTCAGCTGGAGTGAACTTGTTGATGTAAGCAAATTAATTTCCCTAAGAAGAACTTAGCCAGTTCTGCCATGGCTGATCTACCTGGTGGACTGTGGGGAGGAAGGCTCAGCTCCTGGGCTGCTCCCTCCTCCAACTCTGTGGTAAATTGTTGGCCATCACCTTGAAGCCACAGAGGAGGGTGTGGGGTCTTGGGAGTCCAATCAAGGAGTCAGCAGGTGTGGCTCCTGGTGAGGGCCACTTTCTGCTTGCAGATGGTGCTTCTCATGGCATTCTCACAGAGGGGAGGGGGTGAGAGCTCTCCCTGGGGGCTTCCACCAAAGGGCACTAATCCCATGGGGAGGGGCTCCACCCATGACCTCACCACCTCTCAAAGCTCTCACTGCCTAACACCATCACCTTGGGATTAGGATGCATCAGATAAATACGAGAGGGACACTCAGGCCATATACTATTAAGATCTCTTTCCTTGGAATTAATGTCTGTCTCCTACAAAATAAAAAACTTATTGGACTGAAAGACACTGGAATAATAGAAAATTCACTAGTTAGCTAAAAAGAGGAAAGCAGGTGGCAGTGTCCTGGCTCGTCCTGACGCAGGGTCGGCCAGCCTCGGCTCTTGGAGTCTAGAGCATTCGTCCTCACTGACACTAAGGCAGCAAACTTGGATGAGCCCTCCAGGCTTCCGTAGGTGTGGCCAGCTGGAGTGGGCCCTGCCCTGGGATCTCTGATGTAGGTGAGATAAGGAAGTTTAAGGATAGAGAACCAAGGTACTGGGTATTAAGACCAGAGGACAGTGCACAGAGACAGAGTGTGTCCCACTGGATGACCAGAAGAGGCAGAATTTTGATTGGTCCTGAAAGTGACCTGGACACCATGATTGAACAAGTGCCCACTGTGAAGTCCAGCCCCAACAAGAAAGGAGGGTCTGCGCCCTTTCCTGCCCTCCTCAATCCTTCCAGCTGGGCTCAGGAGAATGTCCAGCTGGGGTAACTCTGACATCTCTGATGAGCTCCTACTGGAGTGGGGCCGCAGGCAGGGGCTTAGAGCCCTCAGCAGGCTGGGGATGAGCCAGGGTTTTGTAGTGTTGTTTTCATTGCGCTTACTTTTATGTTTATCTTTTATTTATGGAAAGTAATTTGACTTTCCTCATGTGGTAGAGATAGAAATTCCTTTCTAAATTAATTTTCTTACGTCAAAAAAGTAACCTAAATTAAAAATATGAAAATTCATAGTAAAGGTGGTCGCAGACTAGGAAAAATCAAAAAACTGGTTTTCCCGTGATTGAAACCTGGAGCGTGTAGATTTGAAGGGTAGGGGCATTGAACTAAGCTGGTGGGGGAGGGGGTCTGTTTTGATAGCAGTGTCCCTAAGGCAGAGGAGAACGGGCACCAGGATGGGAAGTCACATTGTTCTTGAAGATAACCCTCAGGGCCTGTGGAAATTAATAAGACACTGGTGATAAAGTTGAGCAAACTAGAGGTACAGATGAACTTCAAAATTCTAAACTGGGGGTGACTTTCTGGTGACTTTTACCGTAGTGTGGAAAGGCCCAGAGGAAACAGGCAGCCATTCCTCTCCACCTCATTGGTGCTGACTTAGGAAGTCAGAGAATGGGCTGATCTACCTGGTGGGCTGCAGGGAGGAAGGCAGACGGCTCAGCCCCTGGGCTGCTCCCTCCTCCAGCTCTGCGTTTGTTGAATTGTTGGCCACCACCTTGGAGCCACAGAGGAGGGTATGGACTGCTTTTCCCACCTAGTGCCCACTCCTGGCCTATAGTTAACATCCGTCTTCTTTTTGGAGGACCCACCCACCCTTTGCCCACATAGCCATGGTTGCAGTTCGGGTGGGACCTCAGTGCCTCTGAAGTCTGGGATTTCACTGTAGGCTGGTGACTGACATTTAGCCTGGGGACCTATTCTACCCTCCTGGCTACTGAGTTGGCAGCACGTGACCAGGCTGGACCAATAGAAATCAGTTTCAGGACTTCCTCTGCAACTTGAGAAAGAGATTCTGTATTCACTGGAATTGTTGAGGAGAGAGACGATATAGTTAAAACTACGGATGGCCACCTGGCCATCCTGAGAGAAAGGCCCCATCTGAGGACAAACCTAACGTAGAGAAGTGGGGTCAAGAGATGCAGTCTGGATTGGGGTCCTAATGCATCATTTGGGCATCCAGCTGAGTGATTGATGGTAACTCATAATTTCATTTATTTAAGCTTATTTGAGATCCCATCACTTTCCACTGGAAAACTCTGGCCTTCAGAACATTCCCGGCTCTCATGGACTCCAGGCAAAGATGCCTACAAAGGAAACATAATTCACTGATTCGGTGACCAGCTGGTGATAAGGATTTTAATCATTGTTTGACTCAAAAACTTTAAAGTAACTGACCTGCTATTGCACAGTTGTTAAATGGATTCAAATTCCTCTCTGTCTCATTCCAGGGACAGAGTTCGTAACCATTAGACAGGGCTGCCCCTTGAGCTCAGATTCTGCGTGTACAATGGTTCCTGCTTTCTCCTGGGTGCAGTTCCTGTGTCATTACCTGTCCATCCGTGGTGGAGTCTCACTATTCCCACCGTCTCTGATGGAAGGTCATGCAGAGGAGCCAAGACCAGGAGTCCCTCCTACAGAGGACACTAACCATAGTCTTTCTCCTCCACCAAAGCCTGCCAACATTCCTTGATCTCCTTCATTGCATCTGCTGAGCAACATGGCCCCAAGAGGAACCAGATAGGATGCGTGTGAGCCCCGGCCCCGTGCATGGTTTGGTCACCAAGTTTATTTTTCATCCACTTTTTCCGAGTCGGCAGATGTGTGTCTGTTACTTCAAGACTGTGCCTCGCGCTGATATTTTGATTCAAAACCCAGCCGTGAAGACTGCTGCAGCTGAGCCCAGCTAAGCGTCCCTGCAAGTCGTCCCTTCATGTGCTTTATGACTCTTTTGAAGATTGTTTTCTCTTAAGTTTAGGGGATTTAAGGGGCAGTAACAATACAGTATGTAGTTTTCCATTGTCCCAGAATTTCTTCCTCCCACCCACCCTGACCATCGGACGCTTTGAACTTCCTCAGAAACAAGAACAATTAAGTGCTTTTCCACATTTCTCCTGTCTTAGCAATGCACCCCAATCAGCACGCAGCTCACTGTGAGTCACAGGAGGAGGCACCACACTCCACATTCATTGCTTTAAAAAATGACATTAATTGTAATGAAAGTTTCTGGTGAAATAAAATGATCATGATGCATTCTGAGCTTAAGCTCTGCCAACTACCTGTCAAGGCCTAAAAGAAACCATCTCACCCCCAAAAGAAATCTGTTAGCGAGTCTAACAATAATCGTTCAAGAGAGTCCCCAGTTTTTCTCTGTTTTCTGTTCTGGACATTGGCTGTTGTTGGCTCCTGGATGTCCTGTCCCTGCATGTCTGGTGATGAGCCACCTCTTTCCCTAGGGAGCTACCCCTTCCCATCCTTTATCCGCAAGGTTTCGGTGGGGCTCCAGGGTCAGACTTGTGAATCTGGACTAATCAATCAGAACATCATATCGCCTTTGAGATAAGCAAAATAATGGTCCCCCAAAAGTGTCTGCATCTTAATTCTTAGAATCTGTGAGAGTGTCACCTAATATGGCAGAGGGGACTTTGCAGCTGTGACGAAGGATTTTTTTTATTAAATATTTATTCTTAAGTTTTAGGTGGACACAATATCTTATTTTACATTTATGTGGTGCTGAGGATCGAACCCAGTGCCTTGTGCATGCTAGGTGAGCACTCTACCACTGAGCCACAACCCCAGCCCTGTGATGAAGGATCTTGACATGCAAGATTATACTGCATTATTTAGGGGGCCCCAATGTCATGACAAATGTCTTCACAAGAGACAAACAGGAGCCTGGTCAGAGCAGGATATGTGACAACCAAGTACAGGTCAGAGTGACAGGGGCCCCTAGCCAAAGAGAGCAGGGGCCCTCTGGAACCTGAAAAAGACACAGAAGTGGGTCGTTCCCCATAGCCTCCAGAAGGAACATGGTCCTGCCAGCTGCTTTGCCAGACTTCTGACCTCTATATTGTAAGAAAATACAATTGTATTGTTTAAACCAGTTGATGGTCATTTGTTAGAGCAGCAACGGGAAATTAGCACAACCTCAAATGTGGCCCAGGGATGGGCCAAAGCCACACAGCCAAAGTCCTGCCAGCCAGAACCAGTGAGATTTGGTTGTGGGACTTAGAAGAGGGGACCTTCTGCCTCTCCATGGAGTTGCTGGGAGGACCAGGTGGAAATCCAGAGATGCCAGCAGCCATTGAGCTGTGGTTCCCAATGGAGCCATCAGAGTAAGGAGAATTGGAAGGGAGAAGTTGGGAGTGAGGTGGGACTACGTCATGAATCCCTGGATCTGGCATGGCTCTGCCGGACTGTCACTGTTAGCCAGTCTTTGCTCAAATTAAGTTTCTCCCACTTTCACTCAAAACCATCTTGACATGGCTGATCTCAACCTATCGTGGTGTTGTTGGTTGTAGAGAAAGCCATGTGAGTGCAGGTGCCATGCAGCAGCTGCCCTGGTGGCGATCCTCAGGGCGACAATTCTAGCAGGTGAGACATGAAAGCTTGTCCAAAACCCCATCCTGTGGGGGTAGAAACTCTGCAGGGGGTTGGGGGCAGGGGATCCCCCAGCCCTGAAGCCATGTTTTCGATACCCATCAGGTGCAGAGCTGACCAGAGCCTTGAGGCTACCTGGCAGGAGTGGAGCAACAGGCTTGCAGGGGGCTATTTCCTGATGGAAGGGCACAGAGATTCCATTCTCATCAGCACCAGCCCTGGGGGAAATGTCTTGAGATTTGTTTTTGGAATTTTCAGCCCATGCTTGGTGCCCATTTTCCTTGGCAATGTCTCCAGTTCCTCTTTCCCGTCCCTGTGAAAGGCTCCCAGATCACAGGCATCCCTGCGCAGGCACATGTGCCTGCCCTCCTCTCAACTTATCTCAAAGAGCATGTGTGCACTCAACTGGCACCGCTAGTGCCTCAGCACAAGGTGGGAATTCCAGGCATCCCAGCAGATTAAAGGGAGGATGCTTTTGAACAGGTTAAGTCAACATGCCACAAAACACACCTGCCTGTTTTACCTCCTTGAAGTAGCCTCGACTAGTATCAAGGGAATTTTTCACTAACTGTATCTTTGTAAGTCTTGTCCAGCAGTGGGTTCTTGAGGTCACCAAATGCGACCATTCGCTGGATTTGGAAACTTGACTGCAGCAGCTGTTGAACACCTTGCTCTGTTTACAGGAAAAAAAAAAAAATATATATATATATATATATATATATATATATATATATATATCTCCACTCAAGCACTCAAGCACTTCTCTATTCCTACCACATTGCATGGAATCCTGCCCAAAGCCACTTCAGAGGCCAGTTCAAATGCTATCCCTTCTAGCAAGTTCCACCTGATTTGTCTGTCTTAAAGGAATATGTCGTGAACCTCATTGCTGCTCAAATACTTAAGACTTGCTGCAAAACATAATGGTAATGCTCGTGGGCTTTGAAGTTAAACAGACCTGGATTAAAATCTTCACTCTTCCCCCACTTGCTGAGCTGAGTGACCTTGGGCAAGCCCTTCACCTCTCTCAGTGTTTTCATCTGTAAAATAGAAATAATGATAGTTATATACCTAGGAGGGTTGGTATGAGAGAATGTAGGTAATGCATTGAATGTAGGACCCAAAACAAAATAAACATTTAATCAATGTTACCCAGCAATGGCTGCAGATGCAGAAATCCTAGTTGTGTGTAAACATTTTTCTCCCCCTAGATCGGAAGTTCTTTCAGAGTGGTGCATAACTTATCTATTGCCACAACCATGGGCATAGCAAACACCCTCAAAACATAGTGATGCTCCACAAGGCCCCTGCTGGCTGGATAGCCCTGTGATGTCACTACTGGCTAGATAGCCTTGTGATGGTCACTGAGTTCACTCACCTGTCTGGTAATTGGCTGCTGGAGGGTTCAGGGTGGCCTTGATAGAAAGAAGAATTCTCTGCTCCACGTATCTCTCATCTCCAGGAGACCAGCCAGGATGACCTTCCCATGGCAATAGAAGGGACTTCAGAGCCATAAAGCCCAATGGACGGCCCTTTACAAGCCTGTCTGAGACCATCATTTGACTAAGCTCTTGTGACTCAGGAGGGCACACAGGTCACAAGGTAAAGGGCATGCTAAGGAAGGTTTGAAGAATCACTTGCAATCTACCACGAGTAGGAAATGAGGTCCTACAACAGGCCTAAAATGATATCATGAGCTTGAGGAATCCACTTGTAAACAAAGGTTGGCTGAGTCCAATGTGAATTTGCACTCCACACCTAAGTTGCTGGTATCAAACTTCAGAGTCTGTGGTTAAAATAGAGGCATTTATGGAGTACATAGGTGATACATTGTTGTTGAAGTTTGTGGGTTCCCTCCCCCAAACATCTGGCTTCATTTCCTTATGTTGGAACCACTCAAACTTTTGTTTCCAGGATCAGAGTAAAAAGATACTGAACTTGCCCACATTCCTTCTTTTCCTCCCCACCTAGGTCTCCCTCACACCTGGGGGACAGCTCAGACTTGGAAGAGAAGTAAGGAGAAAGGATTGGGACAGGGACAGGAAAGCCATCTGGATGCAGGCGAGGTGGGGGAGCACTCACCGGGAAGCGGCTGCCTGACCTGGGACTTCTAATACCTGGACTGGACATCGGACTCTGCAGAATTTCTCAAGCAGTGGCACAAACACTTTTTCTTCTGAAAGAAATTTCACAATCGGGTTTTTAATGAGCTCCACATTTTCTCGTGTGAAAACGATTTCCTTCAAAAAGGCAAGAGAAGCCACCTCAGCAGGACGCAAGTTAAACAAAGGAGTCATGCAAAAAAGTCTGGAAGTCATAACTCAAGTTCAGAAATCCAGGGAGGGCAGGGTTTGACCTGATACCTTCTCCGAGCCGTGGAGCACTGAGACAGCAATCTCCTGCCTGAGCACGGTGATGGATTGGGGAGGAAATGGAAGTGGTTTGGCTTTTTTTTTTTTTTCTTTAAATCTTAGGATTAGACTTAGTTTGCAGAGATGTCAAGAGGAGTCTCCATGAAAATACATCGGAAGGGGTTCTACGGTGGCCCCTTTATTTGTTCACTATTCACTAAGCACCTACTGAAGCTGGGCACTGTTCTAGGTACTGAGTTCACTCACCTGAGTTCACTCACCTGTCTGGTGATTGGCTGAAAGTGAGAGCAAGATGGCACCTCTGTGCCTATTGCCACAAAGACAAAAAGGCAAAACAAATGAAGGATCAAATTGGTGGCAGATCTGGGTGAGTGCCATGAAGAAGACAGGAATAAACATGTTGAGGAAGCCCAGCAGGCGGGGAGGACACCAAGCCACGTGAGTGGAGACCCCAAGAGGTGAAAGAGAAGGCCTCTCCCAGAGAGGCTTCCAAACCAGGGGATTCACCCCAATGTACATGGGGCACAGTCTTGGAGGGATGCTTGCAACATTAACATTTTTGAAATAATGTGACATGCTTGTGTGGACCGCCACCATTCCTAGGGTTTTTGTTTTAACAGAAGTTAAGCTACAAAGTAAGTTAAATTATAAATGTATACGTTTTACCAGAGGCTCCTGCCCATCAAATTTTCTGAACAGGTTCATTCCCTTCATTCACTCTCCAGCCATCTCAACAGCTCTCAGCAGCTCCATGCCCCTGGCCAACCTCCCTGCTGTGGTCACCATAGACCATCAGCCAGAAGGGAGAGGTGCCTGGTGACACTAGTGATAAGAAAGTTCCAAGCCTTTTCCTCACTGCTATGAACCATGACTCCTGCCTGCCAGATGCTGCCAGGGATCAGCCGAGCCCAGGAGAGAGGAATCCATCAATCACCAGCAACTCCCAGCACTGTGCTCGGTGCCCAGGGCATACTGAAGTGTGACAGTCCTCTTTGCACTTGGAAAGCCAGGGAATTGTTAGAGAAGAATGTGAGACAGAGGCAACCAGAGGAGAGTGGTGGAAGAGGCTGGGCATTCAGTGGGGGAAAGGCCAAGCTCAAGAAAGTCCTGGGACCCTGGGGCCTCCACTGCAGTCACTAACTCCCACCCCAGGCCTCCTGCCCTAGCTGGGCATTCCCCCACCACCATTTACTTACTGTTGATATTTTACTCAGTAACATTATTTTCTTGAAGTTTTTGCCATAAGAAGAGACGGCAGCAGTTACCCAAA